CCCGGGCCGTTGGCCCCCCGCTGCTGTGTCCATCGGGAGGTTTCGCCACGTTGCCCGGCATCCGGCTGAGGGTCAGCGAGCTCCGCGGCCTGAAGCTGAGCGTGAGCACAGAGGCCCGCCGGCTCGCAGCGTGCGTCCTGGCCCGTGATGGCCGTCGCGGCTAAGGCAGAGGCCGGGGCTTCCTACGGGCCTCGAGCTCCGCCTGTCAGAGCAGGGCCAGTGCGCCCGTGAGTCACAGCTGCCGGACGGCTCGGGGCCGGGGAGCCCCAGAGTGTCTGAGCCCCCGCGCCATTGCCCCCCGATGTGGACGAGTGCAGCCAGACCCCCAGGCCGTGCGCCTTCCTGTGCAGGAACACGGAGGGCGGTGTCCTGTGCGCCTGCCCCCGAGGCTACCTGCTGGAGGACCTGCAGAGGTGCCGTCTGCCCTGCCCCCCCCGCCTACGCCCCGCGGGGGCCTGACCCCCGGGGAGCCCCGGGCCACCCGCTCCCTGCATGTGTGGGCACCGGCTCCGGGTGGGTCCCGGAAGCCCGGCTGGCCGGCGCTGTCCTGAGCGCTGGCCGCCTTGCCGCAGACCTGGACGAGTGCGCCGCCCGGCGGCACAGCTGCCAGTTCCTCTGCGTCAACACCGTGGGCGCCTTCACCTGCCGCTGCCCCCCGGGCTTCACCCAGCGCCACCAGGCCTGCTTCGGTGCGTCCCCGCCGCAGGCGGCCATTCCTGCGCGGCCCAGCCCTCTTAAACCAAGCGCTCGCAAGTGGCCAGTGCGAGCTGGACATCGGGGACGGCCCCTGCTTGTTCGTGCCCTGGCCAGCGGGCTCCGGCAGGCCTCCCCTCCTCAGGCCTTCTTGCCCGGGCTGCGTGGGCACGCTCCTCGGGTGTCTATTTCTGGCAGGGCGGGAGCCCGAGGTCTGAGACCGGGGTGCAGCTGTCCGCACGGGCAGCGGGAGTGGGGACAAGCCCTCTGATTTCTCCTCTTATGAGGGCGCCACCCCCTTTACGGGGTCCTGGTAACCTCACCTAACCCTAATTACTCCCCAAAGGCCTCAGCTCCAGATACCATCAGTGGGGGCTGGGACTTAAGCATATGAATTTGGGGTTGGGGGCCTCAGCCTGTAATGCCTGCCCAGGCCCACAGTGTCCAGTTTCCAGCGTCACAACACCCAAAGTCGTCCTTCCTGACCTGAGGAAACAGAGGGCCTGCGGCTTTAAGTGGCGGAGAGGAGGTTCACACAAAGCCCTGTGTGTGAGCTCAAAGCCTGAGGCAGTTCTGTGCGGTGGGGACCATCTGGGTCTCATTGCCCAGGGGGAAACCGAGGCACAGCGGGTCGGCACACTGTTGCTCGGCCTGGTTGTGGTGCCCGGCACAGCTCCCTGACCTTCCACCGTCCACTGCAGACAATGACGAGTGCCTGGCCCGGCCCGGCCCGGCCCGTGTGGCGCCCACGGGCGCTGCCTCAACAGCCCGGGCAGCTTCAGATGCGAGTGCCCCCGAGGCTTCGCCCTGGACAGCTCCGGCCA